TTTCGCAACTGCAAATATGCACTTCATCTGCAAAACGAAGTTTCACGAGAGAGGGAGAGAGAGATTGAGAGAGATACGCTATCTCGGCACGTATACGATTGAAGTATAAGTGTCTAAATTTAGCGATACGGTGACTTCCCTCGCTCCGCGCTGGAGAAACTTAAACTTTTCTTGCTAGATGAATACCTGCTTACCTACTACTTTCTGTGTATCTTCGTGCAATCTTCATCGCTTTTTCCGAGATAAATATTCCCTTTCATTTCGCGTGCAAACACGACAAGCAAATAATGTCATTTAGCGTTAAATTTTTGCTCTATTAAGAATGTTCTACCAAAATGCACACGCCTTGTAAAATCGCGTACGTGATATTCCGTTCTTCGACCTTTGGACAGGAGGAAAAAAGAATCCCTTTGCGCGAAAGAGAAATAAACGACTTTCTGTAGGGTCGTGACTTTTTTACGGCACCGGCGAGAGCTCAACCTGTCGGCGTGACATCGACGAGGAAAAGTGTTAAATCATATATATAGGGTGTTTACTAACTGCCGATCCAACGAAGTTCGCTGTTCTTTTCTAGCTTCTCCTTCTCTTGCGTCTTATTCTCTTCGCGATTTACGAGAGTGAGTTTTCTTGCCAAACTTTATTTTTTTTTTTTTTTGGAACGCGAGAAGTTAATTCATTTTCATTACAGAAGTAAATGCATAAATCAAGCCAAGTATAGTATCGACAATTACAGTCACACATATGCGCGTACACACGAAGTGATCGCGGTTACTGATTGCTTCGAAAACGTACCGCGCCACATTTTCGCTCGTTCGACAATAACTTCCTTGTAGAGGAACAAAGTTCACCCGCGAATAATTTACTAATGGGATCGTTCCGTCCATTCGTGCGAATCTACAACTATCGCGCAATGAATCGCATTGTTATAAAAGAATCGGTACATAAGGGTACATAAGGTGCACAACAATTAATTACGCTCACTAGCTCGTTCGTTAATTAAATGTCAGTGAATCTCAAGAGGAAACCCACGTGTCTTGGTATAATTTATTACCAGCCGAATGGGATTTCTAAGGTGTAAAATAGACCAATTCCTTCGCGGCGTCCTGATTTTACTGAATAGCGTTTCCGCTTTTGCCGCATGATATAAGATCTGTTTGCCGCCATCACGTGCTCTATATATGAGGCCAAAATGTGCCACGAGATTCGTGCCGGTGCGACGCGTTTCGCTTTTAAGACGGCTTCTCATATTCCGCTCGCGTGGTCAGGATATACGCGACACGATGCACGACTCGCAAAGAGGACACAATGATAAAAGTCGTCGTCGTCGTCGTCGTCGTCGTTGTCGTCGTCATCGTCGTCGCGCCACGTCCGTCCATGAAAAGGGATTTTCTCGCGGACAAAAGGAGTGTCCCCCGTAATAACAATTTACAATTATCCCGATGCCACGGCGAGCAACCGTCGCCGCCGTTGCTCCGCGTTCTCTCGCCGCGAAAGGCAGGCACTCTCGGATTTGAGTCACGCCCGACAATCCGTGGTAACTTCCGCTTTGGCTTTAATTAGACCCGCCGCGAGAACGAAACTGCCTGGACCGCGGCTGGAGATATCGCGCTGAATTTACCGATCGTTTATTCCGGCCGCCTTCGCACCGGAATTTTGATTGGCGTAATAAAAAGAATCGGAGCTACCGGGCTACGGGAATTTTATGGTGCGGGTTTCGGACAATGGCAAAAACTTATGTGAGCGGACGAAAGCCGAGACATCTTCGAAAAAGTTAACATTTGACAGATATCGGTCCATAGGCAACAGACGAGACATTTTTAAACTTCACATGTTTCATCGCGTGGACTTTATAACGTTTCTTCCTGTTTTTAAATCCGCAAGTTCCTTTGCTGTCCAACTGTCCGTTTTAACGATGAATCTGGTCGATATCGTAATGTGAATGTCGGTTCGGCAAAGTTAGAAAAGTTGGCTGCTTTAGAACAAAATTTCTTCGCGAAAAAATGAGAAAAATATCGCTTGCAACTACTCAAATGATTGAGATCGCGGTTTTCTTTTCTCCGAATTTCCTGCCAGTGTGTTGCAATATTTTCTTGAGGAGTCAAAGTCTTAAATCAATCGAACGTAGAAAAAATATTGCGGTGCTGAAAATACGCGTGCAAATAAACAATTGGACGGTTCAAGAGCTGCGTCAAAGTAATTTACTCGATACCGCATGTACAACTCTAGATAATAAAACTTGTCGTATACGCGAATAGACACGATGATATTATTTTATTAATTTATTACAAAGCACGTTCAAATGCGCGTGAAGCGGTATTTAGTAGTCGCGGTTTGCGAACTGTCATAACATTTTCCATTTACATTCATTTATGCAATAGCATAATTTACATGTTATGAATATTTTATGAGGGCACCGGTGTAATATATTTAAAACATGCGATGTTGCTAATTTAGTACAATGTCGCTTTTCATACGTTAATTTCACACTTTATGGTTACGCGCTGACGAAAAATCTGGTGGACAGTCAACTCGGGTGCATTCGCGAAAAATATAAAACTAATGTAAAAGAATGTGGCCAAGAGATAAATGTGGTGCGACTGTGTGTACGTCGCTTTAGTGTTGGAGAGTATTGTGCGTCGCGCGACTTTTAAATCAGTCAAGAGGCGCACAGTTTATAAGGACCGCATTAATGGTTTTGCTTTAAGAGAGAACCAAAGACATCTGTTGCGCTACAATATTTCTTGCCTTCCTGTTCGAGAAAATCCGCGGGAACATTGTGTGGCGATCGAAATGAGAAATCATGAATTCTCTTTGGCGAAAGTTGCTGCTTAATGAGGTAATCAAACTTTAGGTTCGCGTTTACTTTGTTCCTCATTTTCCGTTTCCGCGCATTCTATTCTTGCATCACCCCGCAAAAACGAAACGCTGAGGAGGGGATCTTCTCGTATTTTCAGTTTTGCAAAGCGTACTTATTCGAGTACCCCATGTTTTTATTATACTTCGATTCAGCGTTATAAGAGATTGTATACATTTTTGCTTCGTCTTGTTGCGATTTTACTCTCGAATCGGAGATCACGAAAAAGCGAATCGACGATTAGAAAAGGACGATTTTTACGACCGCAAGAATAAGCTGAAATAAATTTCTTATATCCGGCATTGTTTGCTTCCCGAGTTCTATCGAAAAGTGTATCCTCCTATATGTATATAGAGTGTAATTCCAGGAACATCAAGAAAATCTGCAGTTGACTTTTTAATATTTAACAGTCGAACGTAAACAGTATTAACTCTTTCATGACCGAGTTATTTGTCATGTGTTTTTTTGTTTAAATAGAACACTAGCAGGGAATCAGAGAGGCAAAAAATGTAACCGGGATTTACATGTCCCGGTGGTCATAAAAGGGTCAATGATAAAAATTGTACTGTAAGTTCTGCGAAAAAAAACCTATATTAAGCTGAGGGCGTACGTTTTTGTACAGAACCGTTTTCCACTTTCTTTTTTTTACAATCAGAGCTCTTACATTTTAATTCTTTGCGGTTTAGCAAGCGCAACGGTTATATTGCACGTATAGGAAAAATAAAAATATAAAAGCTATCAGTTGAGAGTATCGCTATAAAAAAAAATTGCGAGTTTCTCAGTGTCATAACAAAAAACTATTTCACAGAAAGGTATAAAAGTTGTTGAGATACAATATGGTAAACACTAAACTGTATTTTTATGAATTAAACGTTAGAAAGCTTTTAGATAAACTATAACGTAAATCGACGCTTAATATCTATAAAATATCATAAAAAATTCTCCATTTTCTTAAATAGTTTACCGGCAAACAATAATCTTTCCTATTTCGCGAGGATGAGGTGGGTTTTTTCTTTAACAACAGTTACTTATGTACTTGCATCCACTTCAAGCTTTGCTTCGCGACAGACGAGAACTGTTAAAAATTCTTTCAAATGATGTCGTCGATTGTGTGAAAGACGCTCGACTTTGACGATTCTCCTCGTTCACAGTTGATATATTCCATGATCCCCGCCAGAACTGTACGTATCCACCTGCCTTTTCCTCACTAATGTCCCGTCACTCTCTTAACATCGCTCGATCGTCGATGGTCCCGCAGATTCCCGTGGCATTTTACCGGAAGCCGGCGAATATGGCTTGCCCGAACAGCACACGAGTGGCGTAAGATCTTTGTGAAGGAGCTTTAACGACTTTACGAGATTCACGCTCACGTAAACGGTAACGACTTTTTAAGTGCAAAAATTTTTAAGGCAACCGGGAAAATTTCTAAGCCGGTAATACGACCCCGCTAGCCGTTAGCCAAACTGCTACACCACGAGTTGTCGTCGCGCCGCCGAGATTGAGAGATTTACGCCGACGATGCGCATCCGTCTTGCATCGCATTTTAATGTAGTTCGCAGTTTATATGGAGCACGTAAGAAAATCTTCCCGTCTCAAGTTGACCTGTCGTTACAGCAGCCATTACAATAGCGCGACTTTATCGCAGACACCTTAAGCCTTGCGATCCAAGAACTGCGTCCAAGTTCTAGCTCTGAGAAATGTATAGCCAATCAACTTGCGGCTATTCCGTAAGAGCTGCAAGTTGATTGGCCACACATTTGACGGAACCAGAACTTGGACCAAGCTCTAACGCCGTGGACACAGGCCTTTACAAATCGCAATGTTAGGAATAAATTTATAGTTCTTCTTTCTATTATACCTTGTTTTTTTAACAAAATTATCTCCTCGTGTTGGTGCATTGAAAGCTTAAATTATGATGCCTGAGTTTCGTTTGCCAGGACAATGGAGCTGCGGAATTAGACGAGGATAAACGGAACATTTTTATTCGAGCATTGTGTATACATTGCTCAACACAAACTGCTTGTTATTTCAAGTTCAATTTCCTGTATATCCCGGCGCGCCGAGCGCGGAATAAGGTTGACGAACTCATGCATGTAACATGGAGAACACTCTCATGAACGCGAATCCGCGGCGGTTTTTGTTGCAGGTCGAGATGAAAGGAATCTCCGGACCTATTGAATTTAAAGAAGGCCGCAGGATCCAGTTTAAATTGGATCTGCTGAAACTGAAACAGCACTCGCTCGTCAAGGTACGTCGTGATCTCGCCGTAAGCAAAACAGGAGAGCGGCGCGAATAGCAAATGGATATATAAAATTATATGCGAAACTAGGTCGGCGAGTGGCGTCCCGACGCCGGCGTCAACGTCACTGACACCGCGGCCTTTTTCGAGCCTAGCATTGGGAACGTAACTCTGATTGTGATCACCATACTGGTGAGTTTGTCGTCAACGTCAAGTCTGCACTGTGTCGCGCAACAACTTTTTTTATTTGCTTTTCAGTTTTTTGTTTGTTTTTTCTTCCAATGGCACGGCAAGGAAATTAATATTTTAAGAGGGAGATTTTTATGCCTTTGTCAATCTGCTCGCATTTCATTGCAAGATTATGCGACATTTGGACGCGCGCGGTTACACAAGGAATATATTCGCAATAACTTGTGCTATCTAAAAAAAGAAAGAAGATATACACGCAAGGCGTGGTAGATTGTCGCATAATGCCCGTCTGTTTTACTGTTTCAACTCCGGCATCGCCGTACCACCCATTTTGGAAGAGCGAATCGAGCGAGAGGCGCGCGATTGCCGTTGAAAGTTCCTCGATATGGTCGGCGCCAACGTGTCTCGTCATAAATCTGCGTTACACCGCGGCGGTCTCAAAGCGCTTTCCGTTATTCTTGCATGAATCCCGGTCCGTGTCGGCGTCGGATGCAGGAGACGCCGTACGTGATGATGCACCACGAAAAGAACTACACCGGGAACTCGCGATTTTATGGTTTTTGCGTGGACCTTCTGGCGGCGGTGGCGAGGGAGGTGGGCTTCTCGTACCGGTTGGAGCTGGTTCCGGACAGAAAATACGGCGCGCCGGACCCGGAGACCGGCGAGTGGAACGGCATCGTCCGAGAGCTCATGCGACATGTATGATTTGGTTTGTTTGTTTCATTTCTCACATCTCTCTGTCCGATACACGATCCCGTCTCAGACACTCGCCCACGTATCGCTAGAGAATCTGAATGAATTTCGCGTTGGGGCTGTTTAACTTGTTTAAGCAACCAAAGGATATTTTACTTTGTTGCACCTGAAATTACATATCAGATTTTACTAGATGTTATACCATTGTGTTAGCGATTAAAATCAATCGTGTAGTTCGATAATACGTCCTGGCTGATCAATATGTCATTGCACTACTGCAAATGTTCCCTCGCTAAATTAATGCTCCGTTAATCACAAAGGCTCAGTATACAATCGTAGTAATGGCACTTATATCGCTAGAAGACTGCAAACAGTATTAGAGTTGGTTGTTTATACAATTCTTCAGCTTGTAAAAATATGAACGTAAGTAACACAATTATCCCATCCTTCTCTAGCCTCGTATTTTGTTTCAATTACGTTCCAGCATTTCGGATTCAATTACGATTCGATTTGTCTATCTAGCCGCAATAATTCTATTACGTTTGACCAGTTGAATCTGTTCTTCTAGTAACCCATTACGATCGACTACCCTCGTATCTGCCGTATTGTAGAATAAGAAGCTGCTCTTGTAAATCGCAATGCGACGTGCATATCGTAATGCGCGCGGCGTTGGAAACTCGCGAATGCCGCTCGATATGAAATAAGATCGTAAATCAATCAGTGATCGCAGCAGCTTGTCTATTGATTGCGCTGCTTATCGTGAACAGCGCAGGATTCATCAGCGTCACCTCGTCAATTTACATAGACGAGTGATATCTTCTTTGCAAGCGCTAATAACCGAACGAGTAATATTATTCGACCATATCTGGCGGAAATTTTATTACGAAAAATATTACCTGGGCGTCTCACCAATTCGAGGCATGCGGTAATATTTATCGCAATAAACTGTCTCAAATGATATTTCCGAAAGTCGAGCTTTCGCGACTGTTCTTCGAATCTTAAAGCTGCGCGCCAACTCGGTTCGTTGAACAAGAAACAATCGATCCGCGAGTTTTAATATCCCGTAATACTACAATTTACAACAGGCTTCGGTTAGCGTGATATTACACCGATTTTTATACGATTCTGCATATAATTATCGACGTATAATTTTGCCCGGAATCCTCATCTCTCGTGGAAAATAGAAGATAATAATTATACCCTCCAATATTACTCATTATTTTTCAATACGTTGCATTATTTATTTTCAATAAGATGTTCGATAATGTAAAAACAAAACTAATGAATTAGGTGAAACGAATGCGATGCATCGTTTCGAACAATGGGATAGCATTCCTTGTTTGCGATAACTTGTATTTGACGCGTACAAATAATTTGAATGTGAATAGAAAATTCGCCTTATAAAGCGAATCAGTTTATTTAAACGAGGAGAACGCCGTATTGATGGAAAATGCCGGACGCGAGAGAGTCAAATATGATATCCATATGTAACTTATAATTATTTAATATTAAAACACGGAATTTTTCAATACAAGCACAAAAATTAACATACGGCCAATGTTTCAGCGAAATTTTTGCTTAATTAAAAATAGCAGTAGATATAACGTCTGACGAAATAAAATGTTTTTATTAATAACAACTTTATTAATAATAAATATTAATTATAGGTGCACGATAATAAACGTAAATAATATGTATTTCTCGTGCGAAATAACAGCATTTTATAAATTCCGTAATCACAATGAAATCATGCATTTATTAAAACACAGTATTTAATTGAATATTTACGCATCACGTGGACTCGCAAGCTCCTTCCGTGTACTTCCTAAAGCAACGTCTTGAAAGTGATCTATAAATTCTTTATTTACTTCGGTTATTTATAAATACGAAAACTTACCTCGTCGGCCGCTTAAATAATTACGCGCCTGGCCGATGTTTGCGTGTACGCGTGTCGCTTTATATCCGCGGGCGCGTTGAAATTCGCCGGGCCTCTCTTCTTCTTAAATCTTTCACGCGGCTTCACGCTTCACGTACTTTTTCGCTTTATTCAAGAGATTCATGCATTATTCAGAAGAGAGTTAAAAGTGGCCTTACAGCCGCCATTAAGTTGGCTTAAATTAATTTTATATCTCATTTTCTGTCGTCTAGATTGCACGTACGGACTTTAGCTCGTCTACTCTCGCAAGGGTGCGCCATATTAAGTAATTATTCATGAATGCGCTCGACTATTTAATCCGTCTTTTCTTAATCTACGCGTTGCGATAAGTCGAGTCATTTCTCCGTTTTACGCGACGTGTTCGTGTCCTTGACGAAATCTACGGTAAATACTCGCCGCGCGAAATAATTTCCCTCGCCGAGGCTTTCACACCTAACCACGTAATTTACTCCTAACCGCTAATTTCTCGTGTTTCGCTTTCTTGCACCCGCGTTCGCGCGACTTATTTGGACCGAACCTTACGTTTTAATTTTCCGGCTCTTCCCATGCATATGTATACGTGTGCGTAACAATTTTTTTACAAACGGATGTAAAACCTCAAACGGCATACGAATGAAATCTGTGCGTTGTCGCCTCCTCTCGTTTGAATCCCGTGTCACAAGGATAATAATATTAAATAACGAGGATAAAAACATTAACAATTAAAAATGTTACAAAATGCGCCGAGTCCCGACGGATTAACGCGCTCTCCTTTTCATCACCCGTCCTCTTTCTTTTTTTCTAACACGCCGCTTTTCAACGCGGCTTAATTAATGCGTTCCAAATTCCCTGTATAGGCAGCATGCAGTTAATCCGGTCGAAATTCTCATATGCAGCTCGTAAATACCAAATCCGCTCGACGTACCCTCTAATTAAATCTCTCGCGTTTCCGCCGTGGCGCAGTCACCGGCCCCATTTTCATCTAAAATGGCGGAAAGCTTCATGAAGTGAAGCTACTTTATTGCATTTCAAGAAGCCGATTTGAATTTAAATTTAAATCTAGACCTCCCTCCCCCTCCCCCTCTTCCCCCCCCCCTCCCTTCCGCGCGCGCTAGACCTGCAGCTCTCCACGTCTGAATATACGGCGACGGTGCGATAACGCTCGCACCTGCGAGGGGGTGGGAGCATCTTTTTGTCTATATTTTCACTTATTCATCGCGGGGATAATATTTGCCCGGTAGAACGAAAGCCCTCGCCCGTCGTACGTTCGCCTCCTCCCACACGCCCGCAATTATCGGAATTCCTCGGATAATTTTTCTCGTTCTCGCTGTCCCGTATTCGCCGGCGTTACTCCAACACGATCGATTATTCGTATCAACGTTTTATCAACTGTTTAATCCGCCGTTTCTCGCGCGCGAGATACACACCCTGAATTCGAACAAAAGTCCCTCCGTTTCTCATTTGTTGAGTGACGATGCAGGTTGAGGCAGATTTGTTATCGCGTGCGGGGAACGGGACAATTATTTACCGTTGAATTATTGTGAAAAATTAACCGTGAAGCGCAGCCAAAAACCCATTCGTCAAAAGTTACGCTGTTGTCGCGCACAGATTGAAAAAAAATACCAGCTTATTCTAAATTTTGTCGTTTTGATTGTCGATTGTGTCAACGATCGTTCAACGTGAGTCAGAAAATTGTGGCATTTTTATTTCTAATTATTTCCAACTTTTTATTCGTAAAAATAACGCGATGTGACACTAAAAAATATCTCACTAACTCAGGTAGAGTTTTAGGTGTCGCAACAAGAATCTGTGGCTATCTGTTAGAAAGTTTTGAGCAGCAACGTTCTAGTAAAACCTTCTGGAAAGTTTAAGTTTTATGATTAAGTATTAATCATTCACCTTAGATAAAAATGAATTTCGGTATCACAATTAGAACAATCTTTGTAAGGAATGTAGCTGTTTATGTACCACAATCAAACGTTATAATGAATGGGCGTCACAGCAAGACTTTCTTCCTAACGTTCGCTAACAGTTGAGATAGAATTTCGGTTATTTAAATCGATTGAATACAAAACATATGCGATTTCGCAGTATTGGCTATTTATTTATTGTATATATCTCAGTTATTTTGTCGTACCTAGAAAATTGTTGCAGCATTTGCAACATCATGTTTTTTTAATGGACACAACATTACTCGTGCAATTTATTTGGCAAAATACTCTCTAAAAGTCAATCGGTGGATAGAAATTCTGTTTCTGTTATTTAAATCGATTGAATACAAAACATATGCGACTTCGCAGTATTGACTATTTATTTAGAAATCTCAGTTATTTTTTCGGACCTAGACAATTGTTGCAATATCATTGTTTTTACTGGGGACAACATTACTCGTGCCATTTATTTGGCAAAATTCTCTCTAAAAGTCAATCAGTGGATTATCACTGAAAACAGCGAACAGTCACGGATTCACAGTTGTAAATACACGGAAAAAAATGCTGTTGAATTTAAAAAATGGAGAACTGCTGCCGCAGTTAATCATGGTTTGCTAAAAATATTTTGCAGTCATAACTATAAATTTCTAAATCACCGCAAACGATTTGCTGTCGCACCTAATACAATAGGCACAATAGCAAAATATTTAGCTGTCACAACTAAATATTATCTGTCCATATTTTACAATTGAAATTTAGTTGACACATGCAGTGTTAGCTACGGCAGCTACATTTTGCTTTCCGTGCAATTATATTTGCTATGGACTTTAATTTTAAGCATTCAATTAAATATCCAGATTATTAAGACAACTATCTGATGTTTTTTCATTCATAAATTGATGTCGTTTCAACGATTTTACTTCAATTTCACTGATCTTGTTGATACAATATCATTTCTTTTTTTCATGTAAACCACTGCAATTTTCATAAGTACGTATATTTGTAGTTGTAAATCAGTAACTATCCATTGTTTTCGGCGGTAATTCGCTGATTGACTTTTAGAGAGTATCGTCTAGCTGACGCAACATCACGCACGTTAATCGGCCCTCTCGCACCTGAGTCTCCGAGGCCTACGACACGCAGTTACGCTTTCGGGGCGCGTCTCGCGGGAGTGTTCGGCGTAATAGTCTATCGAAGAGTAATCCATTTAGCTGGTAATCAGCATCGAGAGAGCCATCGAACGTGCGCGCGAGGGCAAGTGCATTCGCCATGCCCGGCGTGTCGTCGTAAATACCAATTAAAGCTGTCCACGCCGTCACGGATAGATGCACGACTCGCTGTCGCATACGGTGCACACCGTGTCCGGGAAATCTTCGACAAACACGGCTATGTCGCTCTTATCTGAAATTCATAGACGGCGTTTCGGAGCTGGCGGAAAACAGAGTTGAGTAATTTTCAGTCGACGTCTCGCTGCATCGCGTCGTTTGCAATGCAATTTGCAGATCTTTATGCACATCTTTATAGAACGTAGAACAATGTAAAGCATGTTAATGCTCCTTGCGAACGTAAAAATAAAAATATCTCTCATTGTCGAGCTCGCCAATCGTGTCACTGAAATAAACGGGGTAGGTCGACGCAATTATCAATACCTAATATTATAATTCGATTTTAACAAAAAAATGTATCCACCTATTATTTTTTAATTAAAATCTGCAGCGCGTACCCGTCGACGGAAGGGCGAGGCGACGTCCTAAAATTTCCCTAAGCTTCTTGAGAGAGAACCCGAATTGAAACTGTAAAACTTGATCTCCACGCGCGACCCGAGAAAAAAAAAGATTTATATTCCGCTCGTATAAAATTCCCATGACGAACATGCGAACGTCTTATCGTTTCGCGGAACCTTGTTGTCGACCATATCGATAGATCCCGGTGCAGTAGTGGTATCCTGCGAAAAGGATGCGGGATAACAAAATGGGCGGGAGAACTGGCGACCGGAGATGGACGAAAGATAAGAAAGAGAGAAAGTGAGTGAGCGAGCGAGTGAGGGAGAGAGAAAGAGAGAGAGAGTGAGAGGGGAAGAAAGAGAAAGAGAGAGGAATCGCGGGGGCGAAATCCTGCGAAGGGAGGCGAAGCAAAAGACGGTAGCTCCTTTTTATGATCCCCATAGGAGCAGCCGTATGTAATGCTGAAGAGCGGGGGGAATTTCAGCGGCAACACGCGCTACGAGGGCTTCTGCATCGACCTGCTGAAGGAGATAGCGCGCATGGTGGGCTTCACCTACAGGATCGAGCTCGTGCCGGATGGCAAGTATGGCGTTTACGATTACGAGACCGGCGAGTGGAACGGGATAGTTCGCCAGCTGATGGACAAGGTGAGTGTGTGCGGTACGCGTCCGTGCGCGTCGGTGCAGCGGACTCGAATTAACGCGAGGACGTACGTTGGAATCGAAGAGAAATTCACCTGTCAGAGATGATATTCAATTGTTTTCGACATTGACAACCGACTGTTAAGCGTGCCACTTTGTACCCGCACGTCTCCTCTGGACGTGTCGTGCAACTTCTCGTTAACAAGGGTGCACGAAAGGTACTCGCGAACCAGGGAACTTTCGGTAGCGATGGGACACCGTCGGCTACATACGCGCGTACATACGCGGCGTATAATTTACATGCGCCGAAGCGGCGTATCCGCGATCTCCTACGCTGGAGACTGTTGACTCTCGGCGCGGTGAGACAGTTTGATAGCCGGTGATAGACGCAACAAAGGGTAGTTAAGTGAATTTCCACAGAGATAGGGAGCAAGTATCGGCGTTTGCGAGGAAATGCGATCCTCGGGAGATACGGGTAACGTTGTCCTCGGCATTATCCTGTCAATCCCCAAGAAATGTATAGGAGCTCAAAATTTACAGCTTCCCCCCCCCCATCGTACGAATTGTCGAATCGAGCCGAAGAATCTATCGCAGCCGATAACAGTCCGCACGCGTTAATCATGCAAATTGATGGCCGCCCATGCGGGATTACTTACGAGCGGCACGGCGGGATGCGCCATTTTGCTGGCGCGATAGCCGCGAGTAAAGCCTGGTGCAGACTGCACGCAGCAAGCAGCAAGCGTCAAGCAGCGAGGATCCAACACTGCTGAATTTTGCGGAAGCGTCAGCAGTGGCGTAGAAAATATCTCTTCGTTGATTGGCTGCTGCTCGACGCTTGCTGCTTGCTGCGTGCAGTCTGCACTAGGCTTAAATCGCCAGCGTGCACTTTGCGCTTAAACGCGTAGGCTTAGCTGCGCAGGACGCCGCGAGCTTTTGCAATTCAAATCACCAACAGACGCGAGACGAGGGCTCGTATGTATATGCGTGTATGCGCGACACCACGTTTCTACCAGGAAAGCCTGAAACTAGCCCGCGTATTGCCGCGTCGTCGCCCGCGGCTGAGTCCACATTTCGGAGCAGGTACATCGGCAACGATTGATTAAGTGCCCACGTACGAGTTCTGTTCCACCGAATTTCAATATTCCGCTGACGTTTGTAGCAGATGCAACGGCAACTGTGCGCGACGCCGCGCCGTGATAACAATGTCAATCGCACGCGGCTTCGTGCCGGCGGGCACCAGGATGCAAAGATAGCGGCCGCGTAAAAGAGAGCTCGAGGCTGCAGGTAATCTTTCTGTCGAGGCCACAGAGTTCAACGCACGTGTAGCATATCATTGTGTACGTACACGCGTGACACCCGCATTGAAGTGATCACAATAGCCCACTGTATTACTTGCACCAGTAAAGGAACGTAGAATTTAGATGTTGCTTATGTATATATGTGCGATTGTATTTTCGTTAATACTAGAACCATCCCTCAACATGAGACAGCGACAACTGACCGTCTCTCACGGCACGGAGAGAATTTTCTCGTAAAATGTATCCTGAAAACCGTGTAATCGCTGGACAACACGCTGAAGAAAATGTTCGCTACCGTAGCTAATCATGATTTGCTAAAAATATCTTGCTGCATTAATTTCTGAACAAATGGTTTGCCGTCGCATCTAATAGAATAGGCACAGTAGCAGAGTATTGGCTATCACAGCTGAATATCAGCTGTCCATACTGTACGATTGAAAATTTAGTTGCCAGGTTTTAGCTACGGCAGCAACATTATTTTCAGGGCATTTCTATGAGAGTTTGTGAAATTTTACCATATATTTTACTAAGTAAACAATTTACTAGTTTAATTTATATTTTACCAAGTGAAATTTTACTAACAATAAGTAAAATATATGGCCGTGTTGTCCCACGATTACATGATATTCAGGATAAATTTTAAGAGAAAGTTCTCTCCGTGGAAGCTTGTGACGCAATCTGCAAGTTGCGAAATAGGCAAGTCGGCCTTTGTATTTTACGAATTTCCGAATTTTTTCTGAGGAAAGCGCTGCTCCTTTTTCGTGGAACGCGCATCTCTTCCGCGGTACCTTTCTTAAAGGCGCGCTCGTTTTTGGGAGAATTCTAAGTAGGATGTAATGAGGCGAGTATTCTAGCAGCGATATCTACATTCCAGGGAACTACTTTCGCCATAAATCCCGAAGTTCGGGATTGGATTCGGTGTCCGGTTGCTGCGGAACACAAGGGCGCACTTTTTATCGCAATGAATAATGTATAAACCCTGCGTGTGGCGCGTATAACTGAAACTACGCGCCTGTATAGAAATAATTAATTCCACTCTTTTAATGTAATGCGACGAGGAAAGTTCGCGGCTCCTACCGAACGTGTAACAAGATACGCGGGGGCTCGAGCCGAAACGTTGAAAATCACCCACGCGCGAATATTAATTTAACGAAATATCCCAGATGCGAAACAATGAGCTGAATTGGAGGAGACGCTGTGGTGGGAAGGACCCGAGGCGTCGATAACGCAGATGGAACAATCGCGTTTTAATTTCCGGAAAATTACGGCTATGAATGGCCTTATATTTCGAGTTCCTGAATGCGTTAAACACAGCGATCAGCGATACGACGACGGTGGTGTAAGCGCGCGCGTACGGGCTGGAATTCTTGGAATGACGAGGAATCGCGATATGAGAGTCCCGCGAAATTTCTCATTTTCGTCGGGGCCCGCAGACCGGCGGGCGTTACAAAGCGACCGGCACTATGTTATCCGGACGGCAGTATTAATTTTGTCAGATGATCATTAATAATACTCGCCTCGCCGCAGTCGTCGCGCGCTCCCGGAGAGCGCAATGGCGAAACCGAGGATGGAAAAATGATGATAAAAAAGCGCACGTAATATGCCTAGGAGCGTGGCGTCGTATTTTAGCGACTTACGCACAGCCAGGCGGATCATCCACCTCCATCCGAGGCAGCCGCGAATGTCAAAGTGACGATTAATCGGAATCACGTTTAATTAGCCATGTTTTAATTGGCGTGCGATATAATGCGAAGAAACGTCGTCTCTCCTCTAGACACTCGCGGTCTAGCGAGCGACCTCGCTTTGGAAACATCGCCTTTTTTCAGGTAGAAATATTGTTTTACGATGGATTTTTCGCGAATCGCGGTAATTTGCAATTTAGCGCAACAAGTTTTGGAGTGGCCGTTGATACGCGAAATATGCAAAATGTTACACGAGATATTAATTTCCCTCGCGTGGATTTTCTTGAAAAGAATGATATATCGATATTTCGTTTTTATCTGAACGCAGTTGATAAATGGGATATCGTTTGTCGGCTGCACGGGAAAAGGTAACGCAGCTCAAAAATGAATGAATGAAATGAAAAACGAAGCTCGTTCACAATGTATCACTGCCGTCATGGAAATTATTAATCGACAAAAGCGATCTTCAATAAAAATATTAAATAAACTATACATATTATATAGTTTATTATATATACACGCGCACGCACGCCATATCGCGGGCACGTATACCGGACACTCCATAATCCCATGTAAAATTGATATCGCCCCTTTTCCGGTACATTATCTCTCTGCCTGCAGCTTTAACCGGCTTCTCGCATTCACGTTTCCCCCCGGCGCGTTCGATGCGTGTACCATTGCCGTCGCTCGTACATTCATAAACGATTGACGGCGCGATGCATCGCGGGCCCGCAATGGCGCCGTGCTGTCAACGCGCGAGAACACGCAACAACAAATTATTGCGACCGTCATCCATGGGTCGCGCGGGGCGCGGCGTAAATCACGCGCGAATTAGTGACGCCGCCAGTCCGAAATATCTTTCGCGGGGATGAACCGGTATCGTTTTACGCGACGTCGATGTCGGCCATTTCGGCCGTCCGTTGTACGCGAGATGTATCGCCGAGCGACCCCATTCACGGTTTAACTATCGACAACCGTAATGCACAGTAACACACGTATCGAGTGCAATATCGAATTTTTGCACATGAAAGGATAAAAGTGAAATTACAAATTACGTGTCGTTAAATTGTCGCGTCGCGTTATTGGGACCGACAACCCGACGTTCCACTCGTAATGAGATGCGAAGTTGCATTGTCCCATCGAATTTGCAAAGGATGTGAAATAAAATTATGAAAATTATTTAAGTGCGAGACGAGTGATCGGGTAACGTTGCACGCGGCGTCATAAAGGAACGTGCTATTAGTGTGTATTTTTAATTAGAATATCTGAAAAGCTAGAGGGGGAGACGCGAAATCCCTTCGATTAGCGCGCACGATTGAAATCCGTCGCAAATTGACGTTACCGGTTGAAACGTTGAAACAGATATTACGTGTCGTCCCGCGATGCAAAGCGGTGTTCGCGATATATGAAAAATTGGCGAGAAGCGGTGAGTTGTATTTCGTGCACATCGCGCGATAGAATTCTCCGTAATGTGCGCGTTTGCGCATACAAGAGCACGACTAACGGGGAAATTTGTACGCGGAGACAGAGGCGGGCTGCACGTGGAGAAAAGACAGGGGATTTCCCTATCGGGGGCGCATTTCCAGCCAGATATCCGCGTTTCCCGTGTGCAGCGCAAGCCGGAAATAAATCTCGACGGACTGCCGCGCTTCACCGTGTGCGCCAGCGAGTGCTCTCGCAGACGCTGAAGAAGCAGTTAGATATCGCGGCGAGGGAGTACGCACGCCGAGCTCTTTCCTTCGGGGCGGCTTCATTGAATCGGGGACACAGCGTTTCGCTCGTCGGCTATTGCCAAGTCAGCTATTCCAATGCCGCGCGTGCCTAAATAATCTCGAGCACCTGCCGAACGCGACCAAGTGGACGGATCGGAAGTAGCTTCGCTTCGCGAAGCGCTGCGGAATCCGCCGCCCGCTCCGCGCGCGCTCGGCGGGAATAGAAATAAATTAGAATCAACGACTCCCGTCGGACGCATTATTGCCTTCTCTTATTTCGCAGAAAGCTGATCTCGCTGTCGGCTCGATGACAATCAACTACGCGCGCGAGAGCGTCATCGACTTCACGAAGCCGTTCATGAATTTGGGCATCTCGATCCTCTTCAAGGTAAGCAACAGCCCGGCGGTTTCTCGGCCAACTCGCGCCGGCGAAACCGGCGAATTAAACGAGGGAATTTATTACGTTACAAGGGTAGCAATTGCATCCGCGTCCAGCACGGACCCGGGGGGGGCATTTAAAGCTACCCTGTATAAGCCTCCCCCTTAATCTCCCCGTTCGCGCGCGAAATGGCGTTAGCCTGATAGCTCATATTTTTATTTCGTACACGTCCAGCGCGCATTGTTGCAGAGGCGGATCCAGCTTTGTTGGTCTTTCCCTCCCCTCGTACCGCGTATTTTTCCGCGCCGCGCATCTGTTATTCTTATTTGCCTTTTTTTTTTGCCGTCGTATACTCCATCTGTTGTTGTTAGACCATTTTTATTTGGCAGCCAGCGAACGCGCCCAATACCCAAGAATCAACGCAATGTCGTTGAAAGCTTCGCATCGTTGAATAATATCTCCGTCGATGTTTTTACATTCCTTGTTTATCCTGTTTACCTTTTTCTCTAACTGCAGCGCGACGGCGGGAAGCTAGTAAAAACGCGAGGCGGTAGTTTTAGCAGCGCGAGATAATTTCGTCCAAGTTAATGCCATCGGTAACGGGGCAGGAGCCGCGCTATCCATACGGCTGTAATTCGGTCCGATTTTGGCGCCGGCCGGCCATATACTAGTTCTTATCTACTTGCCCGTGAACCGACCATTGGTAATGGTCACGTTTGTATAATGCCGTTGCATTTTAACTAAAACAGCCAATTAATAGTTGGATGTAAATACCACCTGCACATAAGAGATTATTACCGTGCATCGCAGTGGTAACTGACTGCAATGGTCAGGCTCAGTCTTATCGAATATCGCGTTCTACGTGGAAACCAGACGCGTATCGCTTACATTTGTTTGCACAATTGCGCAACACGTGCAAATAACTCTTAGAGTAATTCCCTCCTGCGCGCAGTAACGTAAAGATATTAATTACCATAAGACTTGCATCACTGAAAATGAAATCGTTGTGCGAAATAATGTAAAGTACACACTGATGGAAAAACTGCATCTATACTAATTGCAACTCGCTTTAAAAAGGCGATCGGTGATACGTACAATGCCGGGACCGATTATTTCGAATCTTCAGACCCTTATTAATTCGTCTCGGTTACAAGATCGTGCTATGATAGTAATATCGTGGCGCTTGACGATGCACTCGCGTGTACCAACATGCACATGTATGTACCCGCTTATAACACGGTGCAGCACGTGTCGCGAGATCGCGGAAGGGGGAAGCAGACTTAATTAGTGCAGCCGCTCTCGCAAGTGATGGCACGTAAATGGTTTAATAATCGGAATGTATCATCGATCGGCTGACGCGATGTGAATTAGCGAGCCGATTAATTCGATATTTATTCGAGGAGTCGTTTCTTCATCAGCCGTTTTTTGTCTCTCCTCTTCCGCCGACATCTCCTCTCCCTTTTCTCTTACCGCTTCTCGTCTCCTGTGTCTCTCCCCTACTGTCTCTTCCCTCGATTCTACCTTATCACTCGGGAAGCTTTAATTATTCTCACAATGTCTCGCTGTCGGGAGTTTCTCCCGACTCGCGGATTCTATTCGATCGATTCGAGCAGCAGTGCCGGAATCCTCCTCCCCGCCCCAAGTTTCGACTCCCGCTAAATAATTCGAGATGCTGGAGTTAACTTCTCTCTCGGCCAGCTGCACTTTATACCGTAACGAGCAGCGGTGGGATTCGCTTACTCCGAAGTTAATAATGGCATTGCGCGAGCGGGCGACGTAACGATACCGATGGAGAAGTTAATTTCTCGCGAGCTTTTGTAATAAAATTTTCGCGACGACGGCGCGGTCGACGAGATCGCCGCGTCCGGGGCCGCTCCCTCCGTTCATCTCTAATTTCTCGATTTCCCACGGAAAACCCAATCGGACGTTTGGACCGACGAAATTTACAGAGCCGCCATTTCCGATCTTTCCCATTGTTACTTCTTTTTTTCTTGTCCCGTTCGCCCGCGTTCTCGAGTTACTACGGGATGAAAGTATACTTTTCCTCTGTGATACACTTATACATTTTATACATGGTATGTTTTTGCGTATAGTCGTATAGCAATAGAGGAAAGGCCTCTATTATGAGATAGGATTCTAATGTGAAATAGTAGGCTGTCAACGTTTAAATTCAATCACAAATCTTTTTTTTGCAACGATTACACGATTTTTCCACTGAACAGATTCCACTTCAAGGGCAATAAATTCACAGTGGAACCAACAGATGATGCCTATTAATTTAGTAGAAACTCCGGTATCCTGTATTAGGAGCCTATCTCATAATAGAAGATTTTCCTTTATATACAGGGTGATTCAGACCACCCGTACAGCCCCTTTATTTCGGAAATAGAACATTTTAGAGAAAAATGTTTCAGGCAAAAGTTGTTCATATTATTTAGTAGAATAAGATAGTATAATAAACAATAGGGAGTTCCATTTTAAAAAATGACAGCGACCTCCATATAGCCATAAAAGATTTATTTTTTCGAAAATTTATATTTTCATTATATAGCCCTTTTAAAACCGTATAACTTTTGCCTGAAACATTTTTCTCTAAAATGTTCTATTTCCGAAATAAAGGGGCTGTACGGGTGGTCTGAATCACCCTGTATATATATATAGCCTTAATATCTAATCAGACTGCTGTATCAATAATAAAGTTAAAGAATCAACACTTTGAAACGTCATTAAAGCAGTCGTTAAATAATAGAGGTAACACAACTTCTCCGTGAAAAACCAATAAAATTAATAATCCTTCCTTTGCAATAATTAATGACTCAATATACTTCAATTAATGTTACTTTGACTTTTTCCCTGCCAGAGACTTCTAAAGGTGTATGCACTATTTTTTACCAATTTAACAACAGATATTCCTTAAGATAATAAGTAACGCGTAAAAATTAACTTTTCCAGATAACATTCATTCTTTAAAAAAACGTGTCGTATTTAAGACGCCATTAAGACATTACCAGTAGATATCTGAAAAAGTTTTCAAGACTTCTTGAAAAGACGTCTGGAAATTGTCTTTCGTAGATAGCACATTTTTGCGTATAGATACTTATATTGCTGACTGTAATATTATTTATTGATTGGATCACATTTCCACACACACAGACATCTGGACCAGACATTTATATTATTATTTTGCATTTCTTCCTATATTAATCCCTTTCAGCTTTACACATTGTCGCATCAACAATTATAGCAGTGAATACAGTGCCAATTGTATTATGTATCTTGAGGATCTTCCACAATGCCAATGCTCGAACTCGGAATGAAATTGTTCGCCTTAGTTCCCGATGGCACAAGCCAACTGCTTAATGAAGATAATTAAGCAAATCACCGTTATGCAGTCAAGCAGCAATGACGTGGTAATCTTTCATCGCGATTCACTGCAGGATTAATTATAGACTACGTATAATATTACACTTGACAGAATCCTTAGAAATTTTCCACTCAAGTACTTTGTTAAGAAATCGATACTAATATCGGGTACAACCGATCACGATACACAGCGACGAAATGATAAATTAATTGCTCGCAAATAATTGAAAGTAGATCGAACGAATTACTTATCTCAATCAAGGTCGTTGGACAATTACATTTTCGCCAAAACGGTGAGGTGCAAAAAATCCGATAAGTGGACCTCTAAATTAATTATATAACAAAAGCTCTCGCGCCGCGCTGACGATGATAGCTTGCCTTTCAATGCGGGCTGAATGCTCGTTTCCGTTCGAAGAGGGATTTTCCCCCGGCAAGAGCGAGGAGGCGCGCGGTCTCTTTTCGCTGATTGCAGCAATCGACGTTGACCGGCGCGAGCGCGCTTTCTAATTAATGTAAGGCGATCATTTAATTGCAATTAACGTTGCAGCCAGTAGCTGTTCCTATCCCCAAAGCTGTATCCTTTAATCATTCCGCCACCTATCCATCGAAATTCCACACATACCCGCTATACCGTCTATCACGAATTGTCGAGTACGAAATATTCGAGATCGATTCATTGTTAACACTATAAATACTTGACATACGCGGATATTACGTCGGTCTTTAAGGTAGTTATTTCGTAAAATCATTCATGTGAGAATTGTTTCGAATTTTTACAGTTTATTCTTTACATTAATACGTGCAAAATAAGACTAATTATATTAAAATTGACCGTCTCAAAGTTGTAAGAAAAATGTTAAAGTTTCCTATGTTACACGAAATATTACGTGTAAAACACGTTAAAAATATTATTTCACGTGAAATATTATTTACACATATTACTACGTGTTAAAAATATTAATATTTGCGTTTGCAAACGGAAATGATGGCACATTTTATTTTTTTAAGCTTAACCGGTGAGTGAGATTCGTATGAGAAACAAGTATGTTATAAAGTAAAATAGAACAAATAACTGGAAAAAAATCAGAATTATTGACCGTTCCGTTTCAACAATATGAACAGTTAAAACTGAAAAATGGGAAGAATTATGTAATAGACATTAGTGTAGTGTAAGAGATGTGGCAACAGAGCCTCGAACTATAATCTTTCGAATCTATTTTATATTATGTATTAATCGTAAGAGTATTCTTTAGAATAATATTGCATCAAGATATATCATAGTAATAATTGAGTGCTGGTTTCCTGTCTGGAAGAAACTTTTGAGCATTACTGTCGCGAAACAACTACCTTAAATTCTTGTTATTCCTTTTCGTCGTCACTAACAATGATAGTACTTTGCTTATTATTTTGTTATTTCGTTCGGAATCAACATCTGCTATCAAGAAAGTGAGTGTTAAATTTTACATCAGCCAATTCCATTCGCGCAAAGGCTGTCGATGAAAAACAAAGAACTCGACGCCAGGTATTTAGTAACTACCGATACGTCGTGAATAAAAAATCGCCGGGATCGATAGCAACTAATACAGACATACTGACAGCTCGCTGCAGGTTCAATAATCGATATCTATTTTCAATTTATTCCATAATGTATTATATTACGTATACATTTTCACGCGTTTTTCTTCCTCCATATTCGCCACATATAAATTCGACTTGATAGTTTATAAATATCACGCCAACATCCAGTGTATCGTAAATATCGAAAAATTTTTCTTACTATGCATTAGTTGCAATAATTAATAATCCGTAAAAGTATTCCGTGAAATATGCGGAACGGCTTAAATGCAATAAATGTAGAACACTATAAAAACTATGATATAATACACTATATAAGTATAACACTATAAAAGCTAATTGGATAATAATATCTCAATATGGATTAAGCAAAGTCTGGATATTATATTAAGCAGAGTAATGGATTTCGCGATATTACGTTTAATATTAATTAAGATAGCTAATTAAGAATGGTTAAATTATCCGTACAAAATTCCTTCATCATTATACATGTCGTTCCGATACTACAGAATTAATTAAGCTTAATACCTACATATCTCGTACATATTCACCCTTTCTCTTCTCTACGCGTATAATGATGAGAGAAATGCATCTGATCACTGAGTACATCATGAACAAATTGAGCATAAAAATTTTCAGCGACATATTTTATTATTTAATCATATATTACGGTTATTTAATTTTCAATTCACGCATGGATAATTTAATTCAAATATTGAATAGATTTATTATATGTGAAAACGAAATACCTAATGTTCTGCGCGCGAATGCAAAAAAGGACAAACTTTTGTAATATTTTAGAAGAATAGAAGTTTGAGTATCGTGCGGCAAAACGACGAGACGTCAGAGACTCTTTCTTGCAGGTACCAACCAGCCACCCGGCGCGGCTTTTCTCCTTCATGAACCCATTAGCGATCGAGATCTGGCTGTACGTTCTGGCGGCGTACGTCTTGGTGTCTGTGACGATGTTTGTCGTGGCGCGATTTAGTCCCTACGAATGGAATAATCCCCATCCGTGTCACCCCGGGCCGGAAATCGTCGAGAACCAGTTCTCCTTATCGAACAGCTTCTGGTTCACCATCGGAACCCTCATGCAACAGGGCAGCGATCTGAATCCCAAGGTTTGCATTCACATTCCAAGAGCCGTAATATCTATTATTATACATTAACGCATATATTACGCGAAACTAATTTCCTTATGTACAATAGAGGAAAGTCCTCCATTATGAGATAGGATTCTAATACGAGATAGTAGGTTTTCAACGTTCAAATTTAATCACAAATCTGTTCTCGCAACGAGATTACACGGTCTAACAATCAATTCTCCACTAAACAGATTTCACTCCAAGGGCAATAAATTCATGGTGTAACCAACAGATGGTGCCTATTAATTTAGCGGAAACTCCGCTATCTCATAATAGGGGACTTTCCTCTAAGTGTGTTATAAGCACATTATTATGTAGAGCATCTTAATTAATTTTATAAACAATCGCATCAATATCGCCTTCATTTATACATATATGATATTGACCTAATAACTTGTGAAATAGACACAATAACTTGTGAAATAACTCTCGTAATAATGGAGAGTTTCAAGCACACAATAGATTATTATGAGCTTCAATATTACATAGTTGAAGTTATTTCATATTAATAATCGGAACAATGCAAATAACCTTAAAATATTAATTTGAATATAATAAATTCAAACTAAATTCAATAAAAACTTATACATTAGAAATATGTTATTGTTATTAAATAATTAAATGTCTATTCTAATTACGCGCGCTGCCTCTGAAGTGCTATTTAAAGTGATTATCTATGCGAAATATCTTATTATCAAATACTCTCGCGAGAATGCAATTTTCTCGACGCGGAACGCGAGCGTTTCTATTCGAGAAATCTTCAGCTTTCGTTTGCAGACTTCAGCTTTTGAATTAGTTTTCAAATACCGAGAATCTCCTATTCAACGAAATGAAACACGTTAATCCCTGAAACGTCTGAAAGATATATAGCAAGAATATAGAAAAGAGTATTATCGGAGTATTTTCAGTGAAATGAGAAATTAACGTCGCTGCAATTTCGAAGGTGTCATTACGAGAGATTGCAGTCCCGTTATTAGATTACGGGACTACAATCTACTGTAGTATTATGAAATCGATAATTAAATCGCTTACTAATCAATTTTACGATACATGTATCATTGCTTGGCAGTAAAATACAAAGCTAACAGGGACAAATGAGGCTAATTGTTAAACCGAACGCAGCAAATTTCGAATAAGGTGATATCTTTATCAGGCTACGAGCACGCGTATTGTGGGTGGTATATGGTGGTTCTTCACCCTGATCATCATCTCGTCGTACACCGCGAATCTAGCGGCTTTCCTTACGGTGGAAAGACTGATCACACCGATAGAGAACGCCGAAGATCTCGCCAGTCAAACGGACATCGCGTACGGAACTCTCGATAGCGGAAGCACGATGACTTTCTTCAGGGTGACTAATATTTTTATTATCCGCTTGTGTGGAATAGACGGTAGAGTAATAGAGTACTGATATCTATTTCCTACTCATTAATATGATACTAATATCTTTATAAAGGCCTGTGCCCACGATACTAGAATCAAAGTTCTATTATAGTTTCGAGAAATGTGTAGCCAATCAACTTGCAGCTATTCCATAAAAGTTGCAAGTTGATTGGCTACACATTTCAAGGAACTATAACTTGGACCAAGTTCTAGCATCGTGGACGCAGACCACAATACTACCCTGTACAACCTATAAATGTAAAATCCGTTTCAAAGCTGCGATATGCCTGAGATATTTATTCTTCCACACTTTATTTTATAATAAAGATATTAAATTATGCTTTTTAATACGATGCAAAAGCTGTAGCTCGTTTAGCTCATATGCAAATTGAGCCCTGTATTACATTAATACTTCCACGATTACATGAGTTCGTGTCCAATTTATGGCCTGTTAATAACCAGGTAATGATCGCGCGCGATACAGCCGCGTAATCGATACGAAAGTAATTATTTTGCAATTATTATGATAATCGCTTCCGCTCACGCGGCAATGGAGTTTTAATCACGTCGCGTCTTTCGCGCCAGCTTACAGAAACTTTTCCGTTGGCAGTTAATTATAAAATAATATTTGCCAATATGCATATGAAATTTATAATGCGAGGTATCGTTAAATATATCGTCGGTCATGACGATATTGTATTATGACGCTAATGAAATCTGATTGTCTGCGTTACTCGAATTTTCCTTCCAGGATTCAATGATCGAGACGTACAAAAAGATGTGGAGGTTCATGGAGAACAAGAAGCCGTCGGTATTCGTTCCAACATACGAGGAGGGTATCCAGCGGGTTCTTCAAGGCGATTATGCCTTTCTCATGGAGTCGACCATGCTGGATTACATTGTCCAGAGGGACTGCAATCTCACGCAAATTGGTGGCCTGTTAGACACCAAAGGATATGGAATCGCTACGCCCATGGGTGAGCTGTTACGCTGACCAATTTTTATTTTCAAATCTCATATTTTCACAATCCAATTTCGTAATAGTTTACCGAGGAACACTAAACTTACAGGAAAAAAAAAACAATTTCGACATTTTGTTAAAAACAAATAGTGCAGAATTGATAAATCCAAAATGGTTTTTAATTCGATATTTGTGAACAAACCTCCACTTCGATTTTAGTATATTTGATTATAGTTAATTGAAACTATGATTACAATCATAGTAGTACAGTTTTTATGCTATTTCCAACAAAATTAATAAATTACTTCATTTATACCTGGTAATATATCGCGCGAGTAAAAAATATAACTTCAATTTAAAATTACAATAAATCGCGTACATCGCTAGCTACATCTACCTAATAGCACTTAAGATTCCCGAAAAATTTCGCAGGCTCGCCCTGGCGGGATAAGATATCTCTGGCAATTCTGGAATTGCAAGAGAAGGGCGAAATTCAGATTCTGTATGACAGATGGTGGAAGAGTCCCGGGGATACTTGCATGAGGACGGAAAAGGGAAAGGAGAATAAAGCCAACTCTCTAGGCGTCGACAACATAGGTGAGGAAGGCTCGCGGAGAATAGCGCGTAAACTCTGAATTATACGCACCATGAGTTTCCTCAGTACAGTCATAATACACGGAAATTCCCTTTTATAGTCGCAAACATTTGCTTGGTTTACTATTCTGGTGAAAAAGTCTTAAATCTCCTAAGGGACACGGTATTGTTTGATTCACGGGGTGTCTTAAATTAAATGTCTCCCATGTAAGTCTAAGTAAATACATACTTTGCAGTAGAATCTTACAACGGATCGTTCGAATTGTGTATGCGCGCAATTTGTATGTTCTAAAGGTGTTTTAATTCGTTCCCTTAATTCATGCCTAAAGAAACATTTCTTTCTTTCGTAAAACTCTCTCGATGCATCCGCTCAAGGTTCGACGTGCTTCTGTGCAGGAGGAGTTTTCGTGGTCTTACTGTGCGGTTTGGCATTCGCCGTGCTCATAGCAATTTTCGAATTCTGCTACAATTCCAGGAGGAATGCACCGTCGGAACGGGTAAGTGCATCGACCCCAGAAACCAGTGCTGAAATTTATTTCAATAAATCAGCACGTTCGCGTTGCACGACTCTATCCGTCGACTTTCAGATTCCCGGTAAAGACGACCGTCCGCGTTTAATTCTCAAGTCACTTTTCGTCGCGTTATGTTTGTCAATCGTTAAAACTTTTAACTGTGTTAATTATGTTTGTTTAATTATTCAAACCATTAAGAGGCGCATGTGGCCGTATGCCTAAGCATTGCATGACGTTCCCTGAACTTTGTTTCATCGCTACATCATGGATTTCGCCGTATCAGCATGAGCTCATCGTCCATTGAAGCATGCCGCTCGACCACAAAGCATCCCAAACACAGTTGCGAGAAAAAGGTCCGTTCTGCCATCGAGACGACTTTTCACAAATTCTGCTTCAAAACAAAACTGGCGCTCTCTAAGTTACATTTAAATGATAATGTATTACAAAAATATCGCTGAAAACTTGCTATTGCACGTTATGAATACAAGATTCTCCGGTATTAGCGCAAAGTGAAAATGTAGAATTAATTCCCGCGGTAGCAAAGAATATTGGAAAAAGAACATCTTTTCTACAAATTAAAAAATCTGACATTTTAAAAAGTGATAAAAGCTAAAAGCTCCAAGTTACTCGGTTTTATTCAAACAAAGTCCACTTCACATTAACAATTAACACGTCATTATTTACTTTCGCCTTTGTATATCTCGAATAATTTATAGTTTGAAAAATATTCTACAAGGAAAGGTCGTTGCTTGTTCACTTCTCGCTAATTTGAGAATATTTTCCGCATCGTGCTACATCTTGATGCGTCTTGAATTTTATCTTTAATAATCGAGTCATTAACACGCGAATAATTCGTTGTTGCGGGCTGCTGATGTAGCAAAGGCCTCCGGTCCCTCCGCCCACCTCCGGCTCTCTTCAGGGAATTTCTCAGACGGTGCAACAGCAGCAGCAACAACAGTGCCAGCAGCAACATCAGCAGCAACCAAGTCAACAAGAGTCGCTTTGCTCGGAGATGGCACGCGAGCTCTGCCGCGCTCTACGCTGCCGCGCGTCGTCTCGACGGCGGCGTACTTGCGACAAATGTTCTACACACGTGATCGGCTACCCGCCGGACAATCCCACTGCCACCCCCGTAAACGGGATGAGATCCCAGGTAACAGCTGTCTCATCCCTCGTTAATTATCGCGGTATCATTAATCTACAAGCCGACGCTAAATTTTCATGATGTATTAGCACGAATTAAACAAAGCTGTCCGTTTTTCTAACTGATGACTCGTGAAATGTACACATATGCAAGCATCTGTTGCAAATAAAAATGTATCTGGACTGTGCCACATCAAAATATAAGGAAACATAAAGTTCTACATTTCTTCGAGATAACATAAGATAGCGTAAAGGACCGTCTACATTTGAAGTAAGCCGTAAGAAGTAAGAAAACCGTAACTTATCAGTGTAAAAGCTTAAGTACAGGCATAATTTTTTTAAATATTTATAGCACTGGTCAAATTGCGCTCTAATTCGCCGAGAGTAAGCGTCAGAGCTGAAGTAGGAGTGAGAAATGGAAATGATTTATTTCTTTACTCCTACTCTTACTTCTTACGCCAGGCTTACTTCATCTATTGTAGACGATCCTTAATGCGTGGTCTACAATA